CCGACGTTTTCGACGACTAGTTCGCGATGATTATATACGTATCGACGAAAGCGACGTAACCGACGTTTTCGACGACTAGTTCGCGATGATTATATACGTATCGACGTAAGTGATGTAACCGACGTTTTCGACGTCAGTCGATACGTATCTAATCTTCTGTCGTCGGTTACGTCGCTTACGTCGGTTTCGTCGCTTACGTCGGTTTCGTCCGTTACGTCGGATCGATACGTATATAATCTTCGCGAACTAGTCGTCGAAAACGTCGGTTACGTCGACGTTGACGACGCCGTCGCACGGTATGAACGCAGCCTGGGCGCGTTCATAGTTCGCAATCGCGCGATAATCGAGCGATCGCGAAGCATGACGGCGCTCCTACTTCGGGCGACAAACTCTAGCCACGGCGTCCTGCCTACTACTGAGGGCAAGCTAAACTACCCTTAAGTGAAGAAAAATCGAATTTCAAGACTTCTAAACTCCCTTGTGTTCCTGCCTCACAATCGCTAATACCCCAAATCAATCAGGTACGCCCTGTCACTGGCGAAAACGCAAAATACAATTACCCAACCCTTCTTGAGTGATGTAGAGGGGATTTTTGGCCCTGTCCTTAGCGGAATTCAAGGCACGAGAGAGAGCTTCGCTTCCGGTCATGGCGCTATCATCCCCTACATCCAAGACTTTTTATGGACTTTCGGGTCCTTTTACTTCAAGGAAGCTTAGTCTTATTCACTCTGACACTCACCTCCCAATAGTGTGGCGCTGACCCGCACATCTCAACGTGACGTCCAGAATCTTTCACCAAAAAAGTGCACTGGCACTTTTCACATGTGGTTATCGTCGGTTTTTTCTTACTAGACATCTTCACGAAGGAAGCACAACACTGAAATGAAGGACATTTCCATTTAAAAGCACGTACATTCACGTGAGGCTGAGATTTTCGCAGAAACTACAGCAACCCCGAAAACAGGTAACTCAATTTCAGGAAACTAGAAGGTGGTGGCAACTTGAGCAATCAAGAAATCAGGAAGTAAGCGACATCGGCTGCGCCAGTAATTGGTTTAGAACCTTGAGCCCACTCAATCTCGAACATGACAAAGGTAACAAATTTAAGCGAAAGTGCGAGATCGCAGGATATTTTGTTAACGCCACGTTCATACTTGTCAGCGTGAGCGTACTGCAGCGTTTTGAGTGACCAAGAAAGTATAGATTTCGATCGGCCGTACGCCAGCGTTGTGAACGCACTCCAGCGTTTTCGGCGACTGCCCCCGAAAGCTTAAAATTAACAGCGAAACGCGGCGTGTGCTCAAAACGCTAGAATATCTATACTTTCCTAGCTGCTTCAAACGCTGACGCAAGGTATGGACGCAGCCGAAGCGCTGGCGTTTTCTAGAGCCCTGTAAACTCGTTTAAAGCTGCGAATAAGCAGGATTTTCATCTACACTGCGTTTTTTTTAATTATTTATGCAGGCGATGAGAAATTTGTAATTAAGTGACAAAAAGTGTTTAAATTCACATCTTGAGCGCTAATACTTCGATGGAAATACTTCAGCAAAGTTCTCAGAGGAATAAATGAGCATGTCAACGAAAACAGATGTCTTTCAATTGCACTTTTTATTGAACATCGCACCTGTTACCTATTCCTTCTAGACGTCGAACCCCAACCCACTAATGAGCCTGAGGGATTTAGCGCTGCGAGTGATTTGCCTGAGACAGGGACGAAACGAATCACCTTCATACTTTTATGAGTTTTTCATTAGACGGAAGCGAGTAATTACTGACCATACCGTGTTGCCAAGATCAGACTACTCAGTATTACTAACCACTACTGGTTATACTTCTTGGATCACACCAAATAAAAAAGGACAAAATATTCGAGAAGAAGAGGGGTCTGATGCATCTAAATGCGTTGTGGAGACCGTACCTACAGAACGTGGCACATAATTGTCGCCTATCTGGTGAGGTGCCAAAAATCAATGAGTCATCCTCTCGTTTCTGCCTGAGTTGACGCTGTTTTGGTGCAGTGTTGGGCTACAAAAAGAGCTGGGCATTGGTTGTGAGCATCAATATAAGTTGAGGGGTGCAGAGCATCACTGCTAAGGCCGTTTTGGGTTTCAGCTCTCCTCCCCTTCGAAGTTTAGGCGGAACTACGTCATTGCTGCTAAGCAGCGCGCTCCGTCGTCTGCATACTACCACGCCCCGGCAGGCAGAGAGTCAGGTTACCTTTGTGGGTCGTCTCGCCTGGCCTCACACTCGCACCATTTTGCTTGTTGCTGAGTAATTGCGTAAATCTACTTTGTCTTGCACTCCTCATTTCACAATCAATGGGTGAACTGGAGGCTGAGAGCGATACGTTGGAGCATTTTGTAGCCTCGGGACGAGCCGGCCGACGGGACGCACTTCCTCAAATTGATCTGGAAATTAACGATCCAGGTGCTGCTAAACTTGCTGAACGACTATCGGATTTATCAGCACGATGTGATGATCATGAAGAATCACATCATCGTGATGATCCCAATGGAGCTGGACCATCTAATAATGGTTCTTAGCTCATTGACTGCTACCGTTCTCATTCATACCTGATTCATTCAAGTCATCACCGTTCATTCATTATTCACTCCACAAATTACGCTAACATTCTGCTTTCTGAATGAGGCAGCTACGGGTTACACTTGATCTTGATATGAATTGATATGCTTCTTTTCAAAAGGTATTGTAAAAATCATTTTATTGTAAAAAATGTATTCGTATGAATCTCTTATTTTTATTTTTCTACGCCGTGACGTGTTCGTCTGTTCGTTCTAGCGATACACATTATCCATTTTGGATTTCGCTGACTACTTAAAATGATTTCTCAGTATTTTCACAGCAGCTGTTCTCATGTAACTCTTGCCCATACGATTATTCATTCTTTGTGCTTATATCGTGAACAATAAAAATTATTATAGCCACCTTTTAATGAATTTTTTATGAATATTCCATGGCATTGAATTGTGAAGTGGCATGTTTTCTTTTGAAAATGTCCGCAATGTGATTACGTCACATTGATGAAATCTTGTTGTTTGGGGGATTTTCGGACGCGTCGAACACGATCGTCACCATAACAACTACTGGGAGTTTACGACCACATGGAGAAGAGGGGGGGGGGCTTAGCTCTCGATAGGAATTATGTGCATAATTGAATACTAGTTGCTTATTTTGATACCGTCACATGTGACGTCACAGAAGGGGCGAAACAAGGGAGAGAGGCCAGAGAACTGAGAAACTGCAAAGAATGAATCACATTTTTGCGTCGTTTTAGAAATTGGAGCATTTCTTTGCAATCTTGTAAATGAAAATTATTTGAAATATAATCTTATAAACCCCATAAAGATAGAGATGTTACGAGTTCAATCTTAAAGCTATTTCTTTGAATTTTTCTGCCAAGGGTTTACATACAGATGAAAGTTGGCGAGGAGGGGTAAGCAGTAGATAAGAACTATATGCTTGATTTGATGGTTCTCTTGTTTTGAAAACAATATGACGTCAGAGTGGGAGCGAAACGAAGAAAAAAATCGTTAAAGACAGTTCCCGCTACCCCTAGCCGTGCTTCCTTGTACTGTAGTGTGGGTCTCATCAATTTTTTGCGGCTTCACAGTAACCAAGGCGCTGGTCCTCATGAGTGGCAGTTCTGACACCTCTGTATTTTTTTCACTGTGAGATGGTATTAGCACTGGATAACGCGAAGAAACGATTAGTGAGCTAGAGGCGGCAGGATATCGCCTTGCAGGCATGAAACGAGCAGGTCCGGAGAGGCTACCAGGTCCTAGCATAGGGTTTTTCATAATTTTTTTCTTTGTTTCTATCTCCCTGGAGCGTCGTTTAACGTCTTTATCTTTGTAATTGAACGCCACTACACACAGTCGCGGGGTTTGTCTATAAGGAACTGCGAAGGTCCAGATGCGAAAAAATGAATTACATTTTGACGCTGTCAGAAGCAAGTTATTTCAGAAACTCGGCCATTTTCCTGGAGTCCTATAAACTTTTTTGAAGCCAAATGTGTTACGAGTCATTTTAACACCACACATTCATTTTTTTTCTTTCAAATGTTTGACGTCATTTAGTACGGGGGCGATAGCAACCGATTGTGAGCCTGGGATGACGTGTTTTGATAAGCCTTGATTCACAAATAATCTTCTGAGTGGGTTGGACCAATTCCTTTGTGCATAAAATGGTTTTCGCATTTCGTGACGAGTGGTTTTATAACATCAGAAATAAAAAAAGTGGCTCATTGGACTAGTGCCTAGAACTGAAAGGAGTTTTGAGAACAATAGTATGAAAAATGCTTATGAGGGCGAGATGCTCAGCTTCGATCAGTTTGTCCTGAGACAAGTGGCACGATAAATCCCCAAGACCTGTACGATTAATACGCGTAGTATGCAGGGCGTCTTTTCCAACAAAGGCACCTTTATAGCGCCCTATCAAGCTGAAATGTGCCAACCCGGACGCCCTCACCGTACCTGCACGCCCACAACTGTCCCCAAGGTACAGCATCGTTGTGTGAACACATGGGGTCTTATTGGATGCGGGAAGCGGGGGGGTCGTATTTGGTCGTTGTTGTTAGAGGGCGGGGGTCGTAATGTGCCTTCGAGAGAAGTTTGCCGCTTCGGGAAAAATGTTTCCTTTTTTTGACTTTTCGCGGTTTTTTTCGCTTTCGTAACACGGCTATATCCCCCTCGACATGGCCCAAATTTTAGGGAAAAACTGATAGGAAAGCTCGGAGCTTTGTATAGGAAAGTGCTGTGTAGGGTTGGGAAGGGCGCGTCCTACAGACTCTCTCCGGAGGGGACAGGGGGGGGTAGGCGTCGTACTGACACTACCATTTCACACATCACGATTCTGTACCCTGACTATCCGCACAGTCGCATGGGGGCTGCTACTCTTATCGCCTCATTTATGAAAGTGCAACATTGAAACACCTGTACATGATATATGAATACATACGCGCAGCCCGATTATCAGAGTGGTTATTGGCCCGATGCCAGTGGGAAACTCGTCCAAAAATGCTCGTCAGAAACGGTTACGGGGCAGATGTCAACCAGACGATCTCTCGCTGCGAGGGTCCAGGGCTAATTTCACGGGGCATCTACCAGTCCAGCAGTTGAAGGGGAAGGTAAAGGAGGAGGGATCAGAGAAGGAAGGAAGAAAAAGAAGGAAGGAGGGGAGAAGCTTTCCGGGGTTGACCATGTGCCTGAGACGGTGCAGAAACTGTGCTCGAACGAGTCTTTTCACAGGTTTTTGGCGCGTTTATGGCTTGTTTTTTTGCACGTCTTTTAATCCTTTTTTTTTTGTCGCTGTAATATTGGCACCCTTGCTACTATTTCTGAGCAAAGTCCCAGTTATAGTGCTTATGATTTAGGAATATGATTCGTTAGGTAATGATGTTTTATTGGGATTGACTGTTTTTAATTAACAGTTTTTCTCTGTCTGTAGTAAAGGAAATTAACATCGCTGATGCGAATTAGGAAGTCTGTGCATATGCACTTTTGGCAAAGATCGATGGTTGTTCCATTTACTCCTTAATTGTGTGACTGCTTTAAGTTTATCCTCTGGCGGGTGGGGGGGGGGTGAGGACACTAAAGGTCATAAGGTGAATGTGCATTGCATTCTGCGGTACTGTTGCATTGATAAGTGCAACAGTACCGCAGAATACTTGAACCAAGAGCCAATTGACGTCAATTTTTTGCACTTCTCTCACTCTCCGACTTTTGTGACGTTCTACGGGATTCTGTGACGTTTCAGCGTAAGCGTAACATGACCACTGTGACCTCACTCTTTCCAACTTTTCCTTTATTACAAGTGGCTGGCCTCCTACAGAGTCCAGTACCTGTGGGGAGTTCCACTGAAGATATGCTTTTTGACACCTTCCGATGATCTGAAAAACATCCTCTGCGCTATGGGATTCCACAGACTAGAACGGTCAAAGTAGTAAGACACCATGTGGGGAAGGGAGCGCAGATGAGAACAAAGAATTATCTCGGTCTAAACTTAAAGTTTATTCGTGGGCGTTTACTCACCAACTAGAACATTTTTGTGGTGGTACTGGCGCGAAAGGTTAGAACGCAGTGAAATGGAGTGCTGGAGCTAGCAAGGCATAGAAAGATGCGAACATGTCACGAGCGAGGGATAAGCTTCCTTCGGGGGAGGTGTCTCCCCGGCGTGAGTGAGCTACTTGTCATGCGTGAAAAGTTGAAATTGTCACAGGAATGTCACGCAGACGTGCGAGCGCAGAGAAAAACAGAAAATTGATGCGGATTAGTTCAAGTTTTCCGTGAATTTTCATGTACATTACTTCTGCTACTGTGAAGTGCAATATAGCGAAGGGACTGATATGACGTGGCTGCGGTGCTGAATGGATATGTGAGTACAGATATGCAGCCGTATCTACCTAGCGGTTATTGGCACGATGCCAACGGGAAACTCGTCCGAAATTGCTTTCTGAGTCGTGTAGAACAAAGGCTTTTTTGCAGGTTTTGACCGTTTCACTTTGCTTTTTCGCCATTTTCCCCACTATTTAGCAGCCTTGCCACCATTCTAGACCGAGTGAGAAGTTATCGCGCTGTATGCCTTCAAGTGCTCTAGGAGGTGTTGTCCTTTGTATGTGACAGCTTTATCCCTTCGCGCCATCGAATTGAAACCAGAAACAGCACAGCAAAAAGTTAATTCAAAAATTCACGTGACTACTGGTGAAAAGTCGGTTCGAACCAAAGGGCATGAGAGTCAAATCAGATGTTGGGTAATAATTGTGGGTGCTGGATGAATATTTTTTTGCGTTGATAGGGACTTCTAAACCCAACATACAATTTTACCGAGGCTCACAATGGCCGTGCAAAGCGCAACAGGGGCAGGGGGGGGGGTTGGTTGCTTGAAGGGGGGGGGGGGCGTATTTGAAGAAATTTCTGATTGCTGATTGTTCCCACACCACGTGCTCTATTACATCCCTCCTTATCGGTGACGTCGCTAGAGTACTATTTTCGACAGTAGACCCGATATGCATACCCTCACCTTTCTTTCGACAGTGAAATTGTAAAATTTGCTAAAATTTAGCGGGAACATGGGAAAGGGGTCAAATCAGTAAAATAGTTGAGCAGGATCTTTTTTTCCTCATGATGGTGCCCTCAGCTCTCCTGGGTGTTACTTGTCTGCCGTCATTCTGTGTTCAGTACATAAAGGAAAGACATCCTGTCCCATATCGTCACGTCCTGGACAGGCCAATGGTCGACAACAAACTGCGTAGTTCTTAGAGCTTTGCGACCACAGCGTCAGCTTCACACATGGCGAATCATCGCGGCTGACGTAAGAGCTCATTGCGATAAAGTTGTTGACGTAAAGTGAGGAAAAACTAGACAGGGAAATAGAACGAGGCCGGGCATAGTATCGCACAAGGGTGACAAAATCCATTAGAATATATGATTATACTGCGTGTTTCTCTCACAGCACTCAAGACTCAAGAGTAATTGTCTCGATTATTCCCTTCATTTTCTTTTTTTTTCTCATATGAACAATTCAA